GTATATTATTTATACAAAGTATATATTTAAATTGTATTTATTATTTTTATGTGTATGCATGTATTGCCTGCATGTAGGTAAGTGCATCCATGTCGTGCAACACCCACAGAGGACAGAACAGGCTGTTGGAGCCCCTGGAACTGGAGTTACGAACAGTTGTTATGTAGGGACTGGGATTTGAACCCGGGTCTTCTGCAAAAACTGTCAGTGTTCTTAATGGCTGAGCCATCTCTCCAGCCCTACAAAGTATATATTTTAACCGAATTCAACAAATTAGACTAAAAGAGGCTTAAAATGTACTCCAATATTTAACAAGGAACTACAACCTTATTTTCTCTAGATAGAAGTACCCAAAGATTTTAGTTAATTCTTCTTATTCAAATTATATAAGGCATCACTCTAATAACAACAATACTCATGATATTTTATAGTTTACTGATGTTCCTTGATTAAATGAGCATCTAAGTTGTCCTACATAGTACAATTATACTGGGATAAAAATAATTAGGCAATATCTATGTTTTACTAAGGAAATGGCCAATACTACAATAACTCCTTCTAGACTCCTATTTCTACTTCAAGGCCTTCAAGGCCTATAAAATTCAAATTTCCTAACAGGCTTGATATCTTGTTTCTATTAATGTTATTAATGTTTGTTATGTAAATGAGGACATTCTTATTAGAAGACAATTTAAAGAATACTGTATTGCTGCATAATTTTTTCTATGTTTCATTTATTTTCAAACTAATCTGGTATGATGCCAGTATAATAAAACAGACGAAGCCATTATGCACAGATAAAAACTACTAGAGTTAGAGCTAGCCCCTCCATGAGGTTATAGCTATAAGGTCTAACTGATCCAAAGAAAAAACAAACATTAGAAAACAATAGATTTGTTTAAATATTCCAAATATAAATAAAATTTTTCATAGAGTACAGATAACTGTAAATACAGGGGGAAACATAGTCAATCTCATTTTTATTTTAATGTTTGTTACTTTAATCTGTTAAATTCACTCCATTAGGCTATGTAATGCTCTTGGTTATTTTAAGTATAATCATCTATTATATATCACATACAAATGTTATGTCAGAGGACAAAAGAAAAGAAAAGTAAGATCTGGATCATGCTGGCTAATAGTTTTGATATGATCTAGGAGTTTCTTTCTTGTTGGCTCTACCAGCTAGCTATTCCTCTCTCCTGATTACTGCTATCTTTCCTAAAACTGAGCCTCACCTACATCAGATTCTAGGCATGAGTCTTCCTAAAATAACCTGGGAATAAATAATGTGTGGCCTTGCATGCACAAAATGTGATGCTGGTCAACAGGGGGGAATTGTGAAAGACGTTCACAGAAAGAATTCAGCATCCTGAGCTGAATTTCCTGCAAGGCTGACCAACTGATAAACACATCATGACTGTGGAGAGTTTGGAATGTTGCAGATCCAGGGTCTAGTCACAAATTATCTGGGAACATCTTTAACCCCATAAATATCCACACCTTGCCTGCCTCTTTCTAAATTAACATTCTTGTAATTAATAAAATGTATTAACTTAGCAGACCACCAGGTCTCACCAATCAAAAAGCCAAGACTATCATCAGATAGCATCTGACACCCTGTTTTGCAATAACCTGTCTACTGAATGTATCCACCAGTGTATTTGAAAAGTGTCTTGATTTATGACTTCTCTTTGTTCTGTTACTATAAAAGCGTGATGTAACTGTTACCATGCTGGAACATGGAATTTGGGGTAACCTGACTCTGTGTTCCCTGACCATGGTCACTCATATTTGACTCCTTAATAAACGAGAGAGAGAGAGAGAGAGAGAGAGAGAGAGAGAGAGAATAAGTTGTGAACTGTAGGCAACATTTGAAAATTATGTCAAAAAATATGATGAAAGAAATAAATATGGCCTATAAAGGTCTACCCTTCCTCCCCAAAAGGGCCAAGAATCAAATAAGCAATGTTTTTGTAAAAAGAAGTTAAGAGGCTACTACAATACTTCCTTTGTTCTAAAACTTTCCTATGTAAGAGTTTATGACTCTAAAGCTACACAGCAATAATATTTAAACAGTCAATACTGGAGAAAACAAACATATGTACAGTCCCACATGTTTATAGGGCCTCTCAGAATGGCTTTCCACTTCTATAGGAAGTGTTGGAAAAACTTTAAATTCCACCTCATGACACATGGAAATTATACTAAATTCAAATTTCTGTGTCCATAAATGAAGTTTTATTGAAAAAGTCATACTCATTTGTCTAAATTATTCTGACTATATTTTTCCCTACTATTGCAAATTTCAATAGTTATGCCAGAGACAGCTCTCTACAGAAAGCTTGCCCATTGTGAAATTATCAATACTTTAATAAGTTAGGACTACAAATTCAGATCTGCTTTATTTTGGTTATTATATAGGCTTCTGAGTCCAAAAATAATGGCAAATGATTTAATACTATAGTATTTATTCCATTCAACCATACTCTGACCTATATTAGATCATCAATTTTGAAAAAATACCTATGTGTATTATAGGGGAATGTAATTCTTGAAAATAATTATTGATCAAAGTAGAAAAGTAAATTTAAATACTTATAGGACTTTGGTATATAATACTTTTTTAATATTTTACTTTATTGCTTGCATGTAGGCAAGTGCACTCCTGTCTTGCAATGCTCACGGAGGACAGAAGAGCCATCTCTCCAGCCCCGGTAATACCACTTTTAAAGCGTATTTCAACCTTAAAAAGTGTTTATAACCATGGCTTTCATTGACAGGTCAGTGTACCTGACAGGTCAGTTTAAGTTCCCATTAGCTCCCACAGTATTAGTTTCTGGATAGGAAAAGTCCCCAAAACACTGTCTGAAGTTACTTTTTCAGTTAAATTTTTGGAGCTATCATTTGTTCGTCCTGAAAGCTTGGACATTCAGGAAGCAGCGCCTAAATTCTGAGACTCTTAGGAAGGTGTGGAAATAACACAACCAAATGTAACAAAGTATGCACTGGCAGTAAGCTTGAATCTATACAACTGTTTTAGGTAATGATTTGCCTTTTGCAATTTTTGTGTTCATTTATCATTAATCTTTACTATCCCCATTTTATGTGCTAACCAAACAGCTTCTTTGCCCATTACTTCCTGGTTTGCTACAGAAAAGACTCTCAAGGTAGGCTTAATTGAAATGGGATAATGCGAAAGGTAAGCATAAGCAACCACAGACAACGCCCCTGGCCGCTTGATGTTAAATGTAGATTCCTCAAGGCAAATAATCTGACACCCACGCAAAAGGATATTCTTTAATATTTGTTCGACATTTATTTAAACGGGAAAACCAAGTGTTCTATGGGAAAAGGGTGAAGAAAAAATACCGATGTCGTCGCCCGCCAAGGTGGCTCATGCCAGTAACCCCAGCGACAGGGACCCAGGCAGGAAGATCACGGCTACAGAATGAGACCCTGTAGTCACAGAGTGCGGTCAAAAACTACCGCCGCCTTCCGACCTCTCCAAGACACAGCTCTAGGAGAGCTCCAGCTTACGTAAACCTCTCCCAGGCACAGGTGCCAAGGGGTCCGCGCTGGAAGTGGCAGCCCCCGTTAACCCTAGGGGAACATGCACCCCGAGGTGGACCCGCTCTCAGCCCACTTCCCAGCTCCCATCCTCACGCGGGCTTCGGGTCCTCGGTACCGCAGCGCCAGCACCGGCTCCCTCCGGCAGACCTGCAGTCCGGCCGGGCCGCTGCCCGCCCGCAGGGCTCACGGGGGACTCGCACCCACCAGGCCCTGCCGCCCGCCGCCCCCAGCCTGGGCCTCACCTCTCGCCTGAGCCATGGCGTCGCGCGGTCCGCAGAGCTGTCGGGGAGGTCCGCCCTGCGGCCATAGAGACGCGGCGGCCTAGAGCGCCCCCGCCGCCCACGGAAGACGGCGAGAGCCCCAGCGGTTCGCCGGACCAAGAGTCCCGCTGCTGTGGCCGCCCGTGAGCTCTGAGTGACAGTCCAGGGAGCTCCGACCGAGGGGTGGTTCTGGAAGCCGCAGCTTCCGGGCGGCCCAGGAAGCCGAGTCCAGCCGGCCTAGCGTTTCCTTCTGGGAACCGCAGGCCTTTCAGACGGGATTAGGGGGCAAAGGAGGATTTGAAATTGCACTTGGTGATTTCTTGGTGTGAAAGATGTTCGAGAAGCTCTGAGAACTCGAACTTTCGTAATTCCACCTCGGTCACTGCCTTCCGTTATTTTTTGGATACAGTTATGATTTATATTATATACTGCTCATAATCTTGTGTCTCTTCTCTTTATCATCTGTACTGTCATTCAATGTATCTGTCTAGCCAGGCAAAGTAACTCTAATTATATAATCTTCGGACAACAGAAGGCCCATCGGAAATATTAATGTATCAAAACGCACTTCAACCACTATAATCACTGCTTTGACTAGAGGATGTTAATTGACATAAATGGTATTGGAAAATAATTCCATGGTGAAATGAATGTTTAAATATCTGTACTGGGAACTGGAGAGATGGCTAAGCGCTGGCTGCTCTTGCAGTAGACACAGGTTCCATTTCCACCACTCGGTCCACAAGGCCACTAACAACCATCCATAACTCCCGTTGCCAGGGAATTGAAAGGCCTCTCTCACCTCTGCAGACATTGCACTCAAGGGTGCACTTAAAAAACATGCCAACAGGGGCTGCCAACAGGGGCTGGAGAGATGGCTCAGCGGTTAAGAGCACTGACTGCTCTTAAGGAGGATCCAGGTTGGATTCCCAGCACCCACAGGTCAGCTACAAAGCTACAAACTGTCCTTAACTATAGTTCCAGGGGATCCGGCGCCCTCTTCTGACCTCCGTGGCAATTGCACGACACCAGTGCACTCACGTACATGTAGGCAATACACTCAAACACATAAAATAAAAATCATATTTAAAAAACATGCAGACAAAACACTCAAACACATAAAATAAAGCAATTTTTAATGTAATAAAAATATCTGTATTGACATAAGGGTGGTGGCACATGCTTGAAATCCCAGCACTTGGGAGGCTAGAGCAAGAGGATCCTGAGTTTCAGGGCCAGTCTGGTCTACACAGTGAAACCCTATGTCAAACATACAAAAATATATATGTATTGCTTTAAAAATACTATGGAAATAACATCAACCCCTACAGGAAACAGGGATACAAGATTCTGAAAGATTCAGTTGCCTATACCTTTGGTAGCATGATCTCTCCCCAAAATTGTCTCTGGACAGTTGCGGGACAGATGTCACATGCTATTCTGTAGATATTAGATGTCTGTATAAATTTAAATCTCATCTCCACATTACTGGAAAAGTTTAATTCTTTATCATCATATATTAATATGATACAAAAGGTGCCCCAGATGTGACTTTTTTTTCTTTCTTAAGGTGGTAGTACTCACACCTACTGAGCAAACTCTCTAGCACTGAGCCCTAAAGTTGATAATGTTTCATTGATCTCATTTTGGAACAGATTTAAAATTCAAGTACTGAGTTTTCTGTTTAACTGTATGCACAAATACATATACAGTAAGCAGCTGAATAATACCACAATTATGAACTGTACCAATTTCAGGAACAGGTGATTAGCATCCCTGAGAACATTTACAGCCAGGTAACCTGAATTCAATCCCTGGGACTCTCAGAAAAGGTGAAAAGAGATAACCAACTCCACAAAAGCTATCCTCTGACCTTCACACAATGTTCATGCACACACATACACACACACACAATAAATGAGATGGCTCAGTGGTTAAGAGCACTGGCTGCTCTTGTAGAAGACCCAGGCTTGGTTCCCAGCACCCACATGATGGCTAACAACCATTGGTAACTCCAGTTTCAGGGGATCTGACACTCTTCCGGCCTTCATGAGCAATGCATGCATTGGTACACTTACATATGTGCAAGCAAAACACTTATCTGCATTAAAGAAATATTTTAATTATATATGGAAACACGGTAAAATTTTAACATTTAATAATCCTCATGACGGCTAATGAGGTGGATGCTTTTATTATCCAATTTCATACTTAAACACAACAGCAAAGAGTAACAGGAGTAAGTAGTAGAGCTCTGTTTTATTGCATGAGAACAGAAATTGCTGCTCCTCCTGTTGGCTCTTCTTTACCTCATTGCACCTCCATTCCTATAGGGTTGTCTTTACAAATTAGCTTTGCTCATTCTAAATTCTTATCACTAATTGCTATCAATGTAATCCTTTCTATTCAAATGTCCACTGTAACATTGACAGGATGATCTTTTTGACCAACTGGGAAGTTCCTCTTTCTAATTACCCCTGGTGTCCTAGGGAAAACACCCTAAGTTCATACTCTGATTATTTTCCCATCTTCTTCATAAAATGTAATGTGTTATAGATCCTTTCTTTCATAAACGTTTACCTTGACTATTAAAATAATCATTACTCTACTTCGTTTTCTCCTTATTTTTTTTTAAATTCATTCATCTAAGCTGGGTGTGGAGGCAGAGGCAGTTGGATCTCTGTGAGTTTGAGGCCAGCCTGGTCTACATAGAGAGTTCCAGGCCAGCTGGAGCTACAGGGAGACCCTGTCTTAAATATACCCCCCCCAAAAGGGGGGACCTAAAATACTTCAAATTTCAAAAAAGCCACAATGTAGCAGAATATAAACAAAACCTAATTATGTACCTGTTTAAGTGCTATAATAAAAGCATTAATAAAATACAGTGGATAAAATAAAGGGCTAGTGAGACAGCTCAGTGGTTTATTACCTAGGGAATAGAGAAGGATCTTGGCAGGTTTTAGGCAAAAGAGTTGGTTGTGGAGAGGGTGAGGTCAGATGTGATCAAATTTACATGTTAGAAAACTTATCCTGATGTGTCTTTTTTTTTTTTTTTTTTTTTTTTTTGAAGCAGGGTTTCCCTGTAGCTCCAGCTGTCCTGGAACTCACTATGTAGACCAGGTTGGCCTTGAACTCACAGAGATCCGCCTGGCTCTGCCTCCAGAGTGCTGGGATTAAAGGCGTGAGCCACCACACCTGGCTCTGATGTATCATTTAAAACCTGAGGCAGCAGGGCCCCCAAGCAATAGGAAAAAATCCTAAGCAGGGGTAGCAAGACTAGGCAGACATCTGAGACTGCTCAAGCCAAAGTAACAGGGCTTTCTAACTAGTTAAACGTTCAGGCTGTGGGGAAAACACCATTAAAAAGTTTTAAGGGCCACTTGGGAAGTGGAGTCAGAAGGAAGAGGTCTTCAAGGAAGACGTTTGTTTCAACTATGTGTGCTTGTATGTGTGAGCATGCATGTGTGCATGCTTTGCCATGGTGACAGACTTTCTAATCAGTTTCAACAAGGAAATGAGTGAATATAATAGAAACATAGATGCCATCTCCCAGGCAGGGGAAGGAGGCCTAAGTTCTCCCCCTCTTTGATGAAGAAGAAACAGGACCAGAAGGAAACAGTCAAGCTCCCATCATCCAGCTGGGTGTCCTGGCCCCCTCACTCATGGAAGTCTAGCAGAGCAGCTGAGGAGATAGCAGTCCAGGGGACACCACGGGCTGAGGATTATGCAAACCGGACTTCATCGTGGACAAATGAAGTTATTCAACAACTGCTTAGTGTCCTCTGAGCTCCAGGAGTTGGCAAAGCTGATGAAGAAAGCAGTGAATAAACAACTAATTGCACTGTTTCAGCCTAAGCCTGAGGCTGCTGAAGATCACGCCCAGCAGGTTCGTGTGGTTCAGCATTCTGTCACCCAAAGCCAAGTTACGCTTACTCAGTAAGGGCTTACACCTCAGCTTTGTTGAGCCTCCACAGATCCAACATTAATATGGGCAAGAAGAAGTTTTTAATATATACTAATGAATAGCCAGTGACACATTTGTTCACAGAAGTAAGCAAAGAGGGAGAAACATGTTTGGCAAAGAAAATTATTTCAGTCTGTGACTTGATAAAATGAGGGTGAGCATCAGGCATAGTTCAGCACATGGATGGAAATCTTCAGACTAATGAGATGTGGATAGACAGTGGGAAAGGATATGTTTGCCATTGGATCTACCTTCCTTCATTCTGATACTTCGATACTTACCAAGTGACTTAATTTATCTTTTAAATTATTTATATATGTGTGATGTGTGTGTATGCCTGTGTACATGTGAGTGCAGGTGCCCACAGAAGTCAGAGGAAGGTGTCAGATACCTTGGAGCTGGAGCTACAGGTGGTTGTAAGCTGCCTGACATAGGTGCTAAGAACCAAACTCAAATCACATGCAAGAACAGCACTAGCTCTTAACTGCTAAACCATCTATCTCTCCAGCTCCTCAAGTGACTTTCATACTAAAAGTTTGGCTTTTCAATTAATTCGGAATTTTTATTCATTAGGCCATTCTAACTCTAGCTCTAAAGTAATCCCAAATGGTGGCTTATGTTTATGAATTTGAATGAGGGTTAACTGAAAAGTAAAAATCACAATCCTGAATTCTTACAGTTTAATACATTCAATAGTGACCCAACCCCAGGCCTTGTGTTAACAGACAGCCAGACTATCTTTAACATCATTTTTAACCTGCAGGTATGAAAATCATGACAATTTATAAGCAGGTCTGTTTGCTGTTCACCCTTATATAATATCTGTGGAAAATAGATTCCAAGATATATTCATGTCATAAATAACATTTAACCGACACAGAAAGCAAATTACACCATTGCATTCATTTAAAAAAAAAAAAAAGTCACCTCTCTTCCTATTGGCTTTACTAAAGCTTGCTGAAGGCATGTATTGCAGGGAGATAGCAAGTAGCAACTGCCTACCCCAGACTGTCTCTCTGCCACTTTCTGTATCTTCCTTGTTCAGTTACCAAAATAACTGCAACCCCATCTAGGTGCACAGACATTGTGCTAGGGTACTTTGCGAGTCAACTTTTATGAGTTAAATATTTTGTTGTTGTCGTTTTAATATTTTATTATTTTTATGTGTATGTGTGTTGCCTGCATGTACGTAAGTGCACCCGTGTCATGCAATGCACAAGGAGGACAGAATAGGCTGTTGGATCCCCTGGGACTGGAGTTACGAACAGTTGTCAGCTGCCATGTGGGTGCTGGGATTTGAAACCAGATCTTCTGCAAGAACAGTCAGTGTTCTTAACCACTGAGCCATCTCTCCAGCCCCCTGTTGTTTTTTTTAAAAAACTTTATTGAGAATTTCATACATGTATATAAGGTGTTTTGATCAAATCCATGCCCACTCCCTCCCCTCCAACACCTCCAACATCTCCCCATCACTTTTTTCTGGCAACTTCATCTTCCTTCCTTCCTTCCTTCCTTCCTTCCTTCCTTCCTTCCTCCCTCCATCCCTTCCTTTTTATGGGGCTCTTTGCTATTCTAACATTCCCCCCCTCTGAAGAGGTAACCCAAAAATCTTTTAGGGATTAGATACAAGCTCCCAAATACTTTTGACATTTTTGGCCTTTGGAACAGAGTATGTTGCTAAGAGGCATAAGGACATTTTGACTTTTAGCCAAGAAACTGGCTACTTAGTCTTTTTACTCTAACTGCCTAGTCAATTCCTATGTCCTATTCTTATCATACCATCCTCTGAAGAGGTTACCCAAATGGCCTATAGGGGAATAGGGACACCTGTGGGGCAGGATCCAGGCACTCTCGGGCAGGGTCCCCTGAGTTCTCAGCCGCTATGCCAGAGGGAGGCTGGAACAGGCACTCTGGCGATCTGCTGAGATCTCAGCTTTATCTTACCAAACAGCCATGAGTTAAATTTCATAAGAAAAAAAAATCTGTGCAGAAAAAAATGTGCTAAATATAAATGATCCCCCTTCTCCAACTGCTAGTGCAAGCTTAGCAGACCATCTGGGAACTTTCTTATCCATGAATTGGTACTAGAGGTATATAAAACAGTAATGAAACTACACCTCTAACATGCAGCTATCAGTAATCCACAGGGACCCTAAACACAACTGCTTATGGGCCAAAAAAGGCTGAGGAGTCTGGAGTGGAAGAGGTGCAGGCTTTGGATTAGACCACAAAGAACTAGAAGGGGCAGAGCTCTAGCGCCAGCCAGTGTTACCAAATATTCTGATTATTTTTCTCAAGGAGCCTGAAATTGAGATTCTGTATCAAATCTCTGGGTTTTAAAAGGCATCACATGCATGTTGGTGTTAATTGTTCCAAATAGTAAGGTTTATTACATAGCAATGTAATTTGTGTCAGCACTGAATAGCCAGCCAATGAAGCTGAAAGTATTATGATTTAGAATGCTAATGTTTAACATTACATATGATTTTAGGAATAAATGCCCTCTGATTCTAGTGATAATAATTTATAGTATTATTTAAATGACATTATACTTCAATCTTAATGTTGAGAAACTGTTTCTAAAAGGTGAAACAAAATATAAATGAACAGAGAACTTTACTTGTCAATTTTAATAGAATGAGAGATGTGTTACAAAGATACTTTGACATTTTTACAGCAGTCAGATAGAATACAGGGATCTAATAAACGTTCACACAATCAGTGACTGTACCACCCCCACAAAACTAACATTCACAGATGTATCCGCTATACTTCATAACTGATGAAAAACTTTTAAAGTGCCATCTCTAGGTTTCATCAGCTGCTCTAGTCAAGTTTACCTTTACCCCATGAGTGGTTTTGCTTTGTCCCCCTCGAAGACCAGCTATGTAAATCTGGGGCCTGGGTACTCGAGAGCTGCCTTCTTTTATGGACTGTGTGCTAGCATCTTTCAAAGGGTACACCTGTGAGGAATTTTCTCTTCTCATGTGACTAAGATCAGTTTGTACAGAGTGAGTAATTTTCTGGCGCAAATTAGCCTAAGTAGAAAGAGAAAATAGAAATTAACATTTTTCTAAAGAACAAGCAATATAAAATATTATCAGGCTCTTAGTTAACATTTGTCTATCATTTTCCCAATCCACAAATAAATTAAGCATCACATTTATTATTATTATTATGCATATGAATGAATTTGTATATTTATGTGCCGTGATCTGCCTGTATATGTCAGAGGAAGACTTTCTGGAGTTAATTCTCTCCTTCCACGGTGGGTTCCTGAGATCAAACTTAGGTGGTCAGGCTTGTATGGCAAGCCTTTTTACCTGCTAAAGCTATCTTAATGACCACAATGTTGCATTTTTCTCTAAAACTTAGAACACTAAAAAAAAAAATCTAGAACAAAATAGGAAATATCTGTTATGAAGTGGGAAAATATGTGAAACATTGCAAATTAACCTAAAGAGAGACCATACTAGATTTAGAGTTACAGTGAGCCTAATCATGTCTTAAAATGACCTTATAACTACTTTATTATTAAATTTGAAGATTCACAGAACTCAGATTATTTCCACCATACTTGTTTGCTTTTGAAGAGAAAATTTTTAAGTTCATATTGAATTTATAAAATAGGCTTCACTCTAAGTTTTTAATATAGCTGTACTTCCAGCATTGTTCTTCATTTTGTTTACTCAGTGTGGATAACTAGCAAACATGACTTTAAACAGATTACACAGGTCAGTAAGCGTGGAGGACAAGGACTGGAAGATCTAACTCTGTGAGTGGTCTAGGGCTTGGCTAACATGTGTGAGGCCCTGATTTGATCCCCACAACACACACGCACACAGACACACACACACACACACACACACACACACACACACACACACACAGGAGAGCCTAAAGGCTAACATGATTCTGGGAAAAGAGTAAGAAAATAACTTGGAGAGCACTAGAGCATATTAGGGAATGAGGAAATAAGGAAATACCTATAATAGTCTAGAGTTTGGGTGACTGAGAACACAGAAACCTTCCCTACAAACACCCAGGGTACTGTGTGCATTAGTAAGACTATTACTTCATTATTTTTGTAGGATAACTTTATTATTCCAAGAGACTTGTTACATAAGCAAATATTTTCTGTACTGGGGATAGAACCCAGGGCCCCACAGTATCCTAATTTAGTAGAATTTTTATTTCACTTCTGTTATACCACCGACCTACAGTAATAAAATATTTTTACTGTATCAGTATTAGACCATGAGCCTCTTGCTGAAGAACAAGGCAGGGAGACATAAGTCACCCAGTTCTCTCATTACTGTGAAGAATACCTGACAGAAGTACTGTAAACTGCCTCACAGTCAGTCATATCCAAACATTTGCTGTGAGCCACTTAATGAAAGTCAATGTCTCCAGTGTCTCTCAGTAGACCTGAACCCTCTTTTTTTGTTTGTTTGTTTGTTTTTTGGAGACAGGGTCTCCTTGCTACTCTGTAAACCAGGCTAGCTGGCCCACAAGTTTCTGCCATTTCTTCTGTCTCTACTTCCTAGGATTGCAGATGTTTATGGCACTGCATCCAGCTTTTATGGAAGTTCTAAGGATCTGAACTCAGGTTATCAGGCTTTTGTGGCAAGAATTTTACCAAATGATCTCTCTCCCTATCACCCTTACCTAGTTTTTTCAGTCTGTGTTAGCTTTCTGTTCTCATTGGGTATCTTTATTTACTGCCACACCTGATTTCAGTAGATGATGGATAAAATACATTAAGATGGCTATGACCGAAAAGATCTTTCCTCCTTTTATATTTTTCAGGCATTCTGTCACACCTATGAAAAAAGTAACTAAGAACTTACTTATGCCCCACCTTGTTTTTCAAGAAGAGGCTTGTGATATAATAAATTATACTGATATACTAAAAATTTGTTGTCTAAAATGACAAGATACCGTAAAAAATACAAGCACGTGGATAATTCCACTGAGTTGAACAGGGATGGGAGTTTCAAGGACAAACTTCAAGGCTAGGCATCTGTTATGATTAAGGTGACATGGAATCCACAGGATGAGACAGCATAGTATCTAACAGAATGGGGGCAGGCATGGAGTACACATACATGTAATTTCAACATTCAGGAGGCTAAGGTTAAGGCAAGAGTATGGTGAATTCCGGGTCAGCCTGGGCTACATAGTAAAAACCTATTTCAAAGTGACTCAAGTCATGGTTTTATGTAATATTTGTCAACATCGCTCATATAAAGACTTCTATAATATCTATGATTTGATAGGAAAATGTTAAAAAAAAAAAGTGGGGGGAGGAGGTTTGAAAGGCATGGTGGCACATGTCTTTAATCCCAGCACTTGGGAGGCAGAGCAGGCAGATCTCTGTGAGTTCCAGGCCAGCCTGGTCTCCATAGTGAATCCAGGCCAGCTGTGAATACAGGGAGACCCTGTCTCAAAAAGACCAAAAAAAGAAAAAAAAAGTGGGGGGATTGTTTCTGTTTTGGGCACAAGGGTTTAACTCAGGGCTCTGCGCATACCAGGTTCTATCACTGAGCTATGTAGGCAGCCTTTTAAAAACTATATATGCTTTTTAATCTTTGATATAGATTTTTGTTAAGTCTAGGTTGACCATGAACCCAGCCTGTAGTCCAGGCAGGCCTTAAACTTGTGATCCTCCTACTTTAGATTTCCAAGTAGCTGGGATAACATGCTTTTCTCATCAGACTTGGAGAAAAATTGTTCTTATTTTTTCTTTTTTTGAAGACTCATTTTAATTTATGCATATGTGTCTGTGTCTGTGCACATGTGTGAGGGCCCATGGAGGCCAGAAGAGAGTATTAGATCCCCTGGAGTTGTAGTTACTGGCAGTGCTAAAAACCAAACTCAGATACTCTGTAAGAATAACAACCACTCTTAACCACTGAGTCATTTTTGTAGCTCCTGAAAATGTATTCTTTAAATGATTAGAAGAGTGCCCTATAGACAACCTCCAAGTTTTAAAACTATTGGGTAAGAAAGTAACCTTCAATGTTTAGTAACTGGCTGGTATAATTTCCCTGTTTCTATATCTGGAAAATTATAAATTAGAATAATCATTTTTGTGTTAACTTGCTAACTCTATGGCAACAACATTAAGATTCCCCAACCTATGAATAATTTAGAAAATATTGTTACAAACCAATTTTATAGCTTTTCTTCTTAATTCCCATTCATTCCACTCATATGATCTCACGGTAGTTGGTGGCAGTATATGTGTATCTGTCTGTGTGATATTTTCACATTTTGTAATTGGTTTTATGTAATGTTTATCAACATCTCTCATCTAAAGAAATGGAAGTTTGCAATTAGTACTTGTAAAAAATAAACATTACATACAGATAATTAAAATGATACAGCTAAAACTAGCAAAAGCTAGAAAAAAATTTCTTGAACATGAAATATACTTGTAATACACCAGCAGAGAAAAGTTTGTAGTTAGTAAGGTAAATGTAATTGTATTTCTGCACAAGCTGGCTTCATACCCGATATTGTGAACTTAATGTGGGAAGGATATTTTGGGAGAGGGAAACAGCCATCATTACCAATTTTTCAAATGTCTTTTACTACTTTGAACAATTGTCAGTGTAAGTGGATAACGTTGGAAACAGAAATTTAAATTAACAACTAAATGTTAGATATAAATTGCATCTATTTAAATCTCCTTTAGGATGTATTTTGAATTTGAACTATGTATCTGTAACAGATTATCCAAAGTTTTTGAGGGTTTTGATCTTTATTTGAATATGCTGATTCTTTCTTGAGGACCCTAATATTAAGTACTGGTAATTCCAGATGAAAGAGCACATGATTATGCTGTATTTGTTGTTGGACAAAGTGAAAAGGGAACTCAAGTCAGAGTAAAGAGAGGAGACACTACTCAAATCAAACACAGATAATTACTACCATTGAATATAGGTTATCACTTCTGCCTTAAAAACTTTTCTTACGATATAGTGGAGTAAATAAAAGCATATTGAAAAGATAATTAAAAGTATTATACAATAGAAGTAAAATGGTAAGCAAATAATAAGATAATTGGGACTCTATGGAAGACAGATGGTGAAAACCTATTTCCATAGGTATTAAATAAGCACAAAGGGAAAATTTCTATTAGATGCCCTATGATCACTTGATCAGGAAAGCTGAAGTCTTCCAGCAGGAAAATCTGTAACCACCTATTTGTAATCAGAGTTCTAAATCTCACACTGTATTTTCTTCACCCCTAAAGACTGTAATTGAAGGACTGAAGGACTGATGAGGGAATAACACTAAGTAAAGTTGATTAAGAAAAAGAAAATACAAAGAGAATCCATAGAAGGTGGTTGTGGCAGTTAGTTTTAATGTAAACTTCACAAACTAGAATCACTTGGGAAGGGACTCTCAATGAAGAGCTGTCTAGATCTGGGTTGAACTGTGGGCGTGTCTGTGGGGGATTATGTTGATCACATTAATTGAGGTGGGAAGGCCTGCCCACTGTGGGTGGCACCATTCCCTGAAAGGAGATCCTGAACTACATGGGAGTGGAGAAAGTGAGCTGAGCTCTAGCATTGTGAATGAAAGTTCCAGGAAGAGCCTTCTGACATGGCTTATTAACAGATTACTACTTCAGTACTGTGAAGAGTTTGGAATGTTATAAGTCCAGGGCCCTCTTTAGCCCTCTTAGTAGGTGTTTATTGCCCTCCTCTGTGTATGAGCTAACATCTTTGTGACCATTAATTAGGTAAATCCTTTGGAGTGTACAAACAGACACTATTTCTCACCAACTGAAAAGCTAAGAGTGCCATCAGATAATATCTGAGGCCTACAGGAGAGATGTCCCTGCTTTGCTTTAACTACCTACTTAATGTTTCCACTAATGTATTTGACAAGTGTCTTGATTTATGAATTTCTTTGTTCTGTTACTATAATAACTTTAAGAAACTTCTCTACATTAGAACGTGGACTTTTGGGTAGCCTAAATCTATGTTCTGGAGCCATAGTCTCTTATTTGACTCCAGAATAAGTTATCTCTTATCCCCTCTGAGGTAAAAGTTGTGTTTTTGCATTGACAGGTATGGTGCCAGAATGTGTTGTCCCAAAAATGGGCCATTTTTCACTAAAGGAGTCACATAGATGGGAGTGAGGTACCAGCATTTGGACGCCCTATGCACAAACCCTCCTGGGTGAATTTCGGTAAGTACTTTCTTGTGCTTTCTCACACCTCCCTTGGTTTGACTGAGGTCCCTTTGTTTTTTCTGAGTTTGGTTGCTTACCGATCCTATCTGTTAGATACATTTTTTGTTTCTGGTACTGAGAGTGTTTTGTTTAAAGTATCTAATTTGTTTGTTTGATTTGAAAATATTTTGGTTTCTGACATTCTGTTTGTTTTTTGTTTGCTTTCAGACCTCTAAAGGCATTTTTGTTTTTTTAAGCTTGCTAGCAGCCCCCTACCTCTGTTACCATCCACCCCTCCCATATTTAATGTAAGGAAGTGGGAAATGTCTGGGGAAAAAAAAATCTACAAATAAAGTATTTGGTAGTCCACCTGGTTTTATGCTTGATTAGTGTATTCATTCAACTTGCAAGTATAAAAAGCAATAGGAAAATCTAAGATAAGTTGACTTTATATTACCCTCAGTGGGGAACATTTATTGTCTTTATTTTGTACACTTAGCTAAAGTGTCCTAGGTAATATTTTTTTATCACAAATGGGTAGTTTGCTTTAACTAGAATGTAAAATCATCTAAAATTATAAAATTGTTAATTTACAAAAGTTAGTGAGAACTCCAAAAACTACATGTGAGTTAAAATGAGATATTAAAATAAATTTTAAGCCTAGAGGTTATATCAAAAGTAGAGATAAATTCTGAGAACAACTCCCTATTCTTATCTTTCTATGACCTTGTCTGTTCCTTCTTTTTTTAAAAGATTTTATTTTTATTTCAAGTGTATGAATATTTTGTCTGCACATACGTATGTGCACCCCGTGCATGCCTGGTGCCCACAGAAGACAGAAGAAAGTATCTGATACTCTGAAACTAGAATTACAGACAGTTGTGAGATGTAAGTGGGTGCTAGACACCAAACCCATGCCTCTGCAAGAGCAGCAAGTTCTCTTAACTACTGAGCCATCTCTCCAGCTCTCTCTCTCTCTCTCTCTCTCTCTCTCTCTCTTGTCTTTTTTTTGAGACAGGCAACTCTATAGAAGGAAACAATTATTATGACCTGTTTTAAGATAGCAGGTAGAGAGAAAGGAGATTCCATGCTATATTAAAAATTCCGATTTGTTGAGGCTGGAGAGATGGTTCAGCAGTAGAGAGTACTGACTGCTCTTTCAGGGGTCCCAGCACCTACATGGTAGCTAACAACCTTTTGTGACTCCAGTTCCAGGGGATTCAGACTACCTCTTCTGACCTCTGCGGGCATTGAACAACACAGGTGCACTTGCCTACATGTAGGCAATACACTTATACACATAAAATAAAAATAATAAATAAAATATTTTTAAAATTCTTATTTCTAACAGTCTGATCTCTTGTTTCTATCACAGTTAGTAACATACTGCATGAAAAAACACAATACTATTAAAAGAAAATTTAAAGGAATACTATATTGTCATTAAATTTCTTCTATAATATGGCTTTCCATTTATTTCTTCAACTGAATCTGGTTTATAATAGCAATACAATGAAACAGATCAAGTCACTACCCATAGATAGTTATGATAATTTAGATATTGAAGACTCATTTAAAATTGTTTTTGATTTACTTTTTAATGTGCGTGAGTGTATTGCCTTCATGTATGTAAGTGCACCTGTGTCTTGCAATGCCCACAAAGGACAGAAGAGGATGTGGATCCCCTGGAACTGGATTTATGGACAGTTATTAGCTGCTATGTGGGTGCTGGGACTCGAAGCTGGGTCCTTCACAAGAGCATCAGTCCCCTTAACTGCTAAGCCATCGCTCTACCCCCTTGAAGATAGATTTTTGCTAAGAATTAGAGCTAGCTACTCCACATGAAGTTATAACTAAAGATCAAACTAGCAAAAAGAAAAACTAAAAAGGTAAAAAGATTTGTTTACTTCAATATAAATAAAATAGTTAATAGAGTACAAATAACTGTAAATTAGTTTTTTTAATATACAAATTTTGGTGGTTTTAATTGCCTGTTTTCTTCATCTGTTACAATTATATCTAATGGTATTCTTGATATTTTAATTTTAGGTGTATTATTCTTAATATATGTCACATATCAAATACAGAGGGTTTTGAAAAAATCAGATCTTGATGATAATGGCTAATACATATTAATGATATGATCCAGGAATTCTTCTTCCTAATGGCTTTACCAGCCATTCCTCTCTCCTGAAGACTGCTCTCCTCCCTACTACTCAGTCTTAACTACATCAGATTCTGGGAATGAGCCTTTCCTAGCAATACTGATATTTAATAAATAATATGTGGACCCCTGCATACACAAAATGTAATGCTTGCCCATCAGGAGGATCTGGGAACTAAAGTTCCTGGAAAGAGTGCATCTTGCACTGAACATTCTGACAAGGCACATTAACAAATTAGGACTTGGGGCTGGAGAGATGGCTCAGTGGTTAAGAACACTGGCTGTTCTTACAGAAGACCTTCCAGGGGATCCAACAGCCTCTTCTGTCCTCTGTGGGCAATGCATGACACAAGTACACTTACCTACATGCAGGTAATACACACACATAAAAATAATAAATAAATATCTTTAAAAATTAGAACTTGTGGAGAGTTTGTAATGTTACAAGTTCAGAGCCAAGTAATCTTGGGCCATCTTTTGCCCTCTCAATAGCCATGTATAACTATTAATATATATGATATATATTAATATAGCTTAACATCCCTCCTCTGTAATATCTTTGTAACCATTAATTAGGTAAATCCTTTGGAATGTACACACAGATACCTAGCTCTCACCAGTCAAAAAGCTAAGAATGTCATCAGATAGTGTCTGTGGTGGTCCCCGTTTTGCTGTATATCATCTAATATTTCCACCAATGTATCTGAAAAGTATACTGATTTATTATTTTCTTTTTTCTGTTACTATAAATCTTCATGAAACTGCTTCCATATTAGAACATGGAATTTGGGGTAACCTAAATATGCGTTTTTGGACCATGGTCACTCATATTTGGCTTCAGAATAAACTATCTCTTACCCCTTAGAGGTGACAGATATATTTTTATGTTGACACATGCATGCATTCATTCTCTGAGTCCTTTACTATGGACTTAATATGACTAGCTACTTCAAGTGCCTACAGCC